ATGTATGGTCATACAAAACATTTCCATATCAGTCACATTGCAAAAGAAAACACTGACCAAAAAACCAAGAATAATAAAGAAAAAACTATGCTTCAATCTGTATTCAATCTGCATCAGTTCTTTCTCTGTAGGTAGATAGCATTTTTCATCATAAGTCCTTTGGAATTGTTTTAGATCATTGAATTGCTGAGAATAGCTAAGTCATTCACAGTTGATCATCACACAGTATTGCTGTTACTGTGTACATTATCCACTTTGCATCAGTATGTGTGAGTCTTCCCAGGTTTTTCCTGCTTATCATTTCTTATAGCATAATAATATTCCATCATATACCACAAGGTGTTCAGCCATTCCCCAACTGATAGGCATCCCCTCAATTTCCAATTCTTTGCCACCACTAAAAGAGCTGCTATAAATATTTCTGTACATATAAGTCCTTTTCCTTTTCCTTTGATCACTTTGGGATATAAGACCTAGTAGTGGTATTGCTGGGTTAAAGGATATGTACACTTTTATAGCCCTTTGGGCATATTTCCAAATTGCTCTCCAGCATGGTTGGATCAGTTCACAATTACACCAACAGTGCAAAAGTATTTTTATTTTTCCATGTCCCCCAATACTTGTCATTTTCCTTTTCTATCATATTAGCCAATCTGATAGGTGTGAGGTTGTACCTCAGAGTTGTTTTAATTTGCATTTCTCTAATCAATAGTGATTTAGAGTATTTTTTCATATGACTGTAACTGCTAAATCTTATATACACTTCAATGGGGTTCCTTTTTTTTTTGAATTCTATCTACTTACTGTTTATGGATAGTATTGATTACATCAAGTCTGAAAGCACCATATATCTTTTTAAAATTTTAAAAATTTATTTTCAATTTGTGGAATAAAACAAGCATTTCTATATTATATGTACATAGACATATGTGTGTGCATCTTAAATGGGATCCATGGACATTTTAAAGAGATCATTCTAGCTATCCATATTGGAAACACAAAATGGATGAAAAGTTCATATTGCTCAGAATATGACATGGAGTTGCACTTGAGGATCACTGAATTTATTCTTTGGCATGTCTATCATGGACAGACACTGCAAATAGACAATAAGTTTGGCTCAGAATTGAAGAAGTTTGAACTCTAGTCTTCCTTACCCCAAGGCCTACATTCTATCCAGTCTGTCACATAGCTATTTCTATATACCCCACAATACAACATAAGTCTCGGTTGATAATATCAAAGTGATTTTAAAGGGGCAGGTAGGTGGTGCAGTGAATAGAGTACTGGCCCTGGAGTCAGGAGGATCTGAGTTCAAATGTGGCCTAAGACACATACCACTTACTACCTGTGTGACCTTGGGCAAGTCACTTAACCCCACTGCCTAGACTAAAACAAACAAACAAACAAACAAACCAAAAAACCAAAGTGATTTGTGAGTGACTGCATATCTTTCCATAAAGAGTCTCCAGTCACCAAAAGACAATCTCTTCTTTGGGCAAGTAACAGATTTTCTTTCTTTTCTTTATTTTAGCTTTTAGAAAGTATATTTAATAAGTAGATATAGAAAAGTCAGTTGTTACAGAAACAATATTCCCAAACTGGGAGTGCTCTCTCTCCTTACACATATACATGGTCCCTAGGGTAAGCTAGGGAGCTCAAACTTACAGCAAAACTGATAGTGAAGGACAAAGAAGGAAGATATGAGGCCAAGGGCTTCATCCATCCTCATTACTAGAAATCCTTTTCTCCCGTAGTAGTCACCTCATGAAGTTCTTAAATGCAGCTCTCTGATGGGCTTCAAGGATGGGTGTCTTTCTAGAGTCCATAGCCAGTACTTCTACAAAGATTCTTATGCCCTTAAACTGTTGTCAGTTTAGATATCATCCTCAGATGTCTTTCTTTTTCTTTGTTTTTTCCTTTTTCAAAATTTTTAACATCCTTTAAAAAAATTTAAGTTTCAAATTATCTTCCTCCCTCCTATAAAAGACTTTCTTGCATTTTCTGGCAACTGTAGATTTTTATCATTCTATATACACTAGGTTCACCTTTTATAAAGTGTAAATTCAATCCCACACAGATTGCATTTGTACTTTGTAAAAGGTAATCTGTTAAATTTGAGTGAGTCATTTTGTATCTCAGGGAATACAATTTTGAATAGGCTAAGTAAAGAATGTGAGACTCTGAGTAGCTTTATTTTCATATGAAAAGCCAGGTAAAGAGATGAGCTAACAACTGAGGCATTGAACTTGTCTCCAAAGCCTAAATTGCCCCTGTACCTTTTCTCTACCCACACTCATTTGCATGAACCAACTAGAGAGACTTAAAAATGGGGGAACCCTGAATCCCAGAGCCGTTTGGTAATTACTAGGAAAATGGCCATTGACTGGTTATGGCCCATCCTACAGAGATGATGATTTGGGAAGTGAACTGATTAGTCGCCATAAATAAGGTGAAGTCTTTCACCAAGGGGACCTAGCTCTATATAAGGAAGAATTTTGCTGACCAATGCAGTAGATATCTTAAACTCTCTATACCCAAAACAGAACTCATTTCATTCCTAAACCTTTCTCACCTTCCCTATTACTATAGAGAGTATCCTCCCAGTCCCTCAGGCTCACAAGGAATCACCTTGGATTCCTCATTATCTCTCACCCCCCTTCTCCCCATCCCCATATCCGATCTGTTGCCAAGACCTGTCAATTTAACTTTTGTAACATCTCTTAAATACACCCCCTCCTCTCTTCCGACACTCCAACCACTCTAGTGCAGGCCCTCAACACCTCACACCTGGATTATTGCAGTAGGCTGCTGGGAGATGTCTACCTCAAGTCTCTCCCCACTTCAATCCATCCTCCATTCAACCACTAAAGTGATTTTCCTAAATTTTGGGTCTGATCCTATTATTCCCCTACTCAATAAACTCCAGTGGCTTCCTATAGCCTCCAGCACCTAAGACAAAATGCTCTGTTTGGCCCTCAAAGTCCTTCATAATCTAGCCTCCTCCTACCTTTTCAGTCTTCTTACACCTTACTTCCCACCACATACTCTTCGATCTGGTGACGCGGGCCTCCTGGCTGCTCCACAAACAAGACGCGCCATCTCTCAGCTTTGGGCATTTTCTCTGGATGTCTGCCATGCCTGGAATGTAGCTATTGACCTCCCAGGCTTCCTTTAAGTCCCAACTAAAATCCCACCTTCTATAGGAATCTTTCCCCAACCAACCCCTCTTCACTCTAGTGCCTTCCCTCTGTTATCTCCCATTTATTCCATATATAGCTTGATATATATATATATATATATATATAGTTTGTTTGCATGTTGTCTCCCTCATTCTTGTGAGCTCCCTGAAGACAGGGATTGTCTTTCCCCTCTTTTTCTATCCCAATGTTTAGCACACTGCTTGGCACATAGTAATAAATGTTAACAGATTGGTACCAGGACATACCCTCATAGGCAGGACTTTCCACTTTTATAAAACAAAGAAAGCAAATGCCAAAGGCCTGGACCCTGTGCTTTAGTGACAGGAGATTCCCCTCCTATTGTGTTCTTTGGAACCATGAGCCATTGACCAAGGCTAAGACCAAGACTCCTGGGGGTGATGCCTATACAGGAGTGGAAGGAAGTTCCTCCTTTCTTTTGGTTAAGGATATGCCCTCTATGAATACAGGCCCCAAAGGAGCAGAACAGAGGGGGCTTCTACCAGGCCTAGGTTAAGAGGTCACTGCTCTTTCTGAAAGAACAGAATGATATCTCAACTAAGAACTGCAGCTCAGTCTGGAGCTAGAGAAGAGGGATGATTATCTATACCACTTCCCTCCTCCCCCTTTCTAGATCCCCTTTAGGTATTGTCTTTCCCATTAGAATGTAAGCTCTCTTAGTCAGAGGACTGCTTTGCTGTATTTTTATCCTTAGCAACTAGCACTTGCTAAATGCTCTATCAATCTATTGTCTATCTATCTACCTATCTATGTATCTATCATTTGCCTACCTAATTTGTGGGAAGTTGGACTACCCTGTAATTGTTAGGGATGGGCTTCTGGGGAGCCTAGGGTAGGGGGAAAGAGGAGAAGAGGAGGACATGAAAGGAGCTTACCATAGTTGACTGATTTCTTTTAAAAATGCATTATTCTTTTTTTTTTTTGGCTAGGCAATGGGGTTAAGTGACTTGCCCAGGGTCACACAGTAAGTGTTATGTGTCTGAGGCCGAATTTGAACTTAGGTTCTCCCGAATGCAGGGCCGATGGTCTATCCACTGCACCACCTCGCTGCTCCAAAAATGTATTATTCTTGCTAACCAGCCACTAAATTCTCTTGTTTCTAGCTTCCGAATGACAGCAAGTGCTATTAATGATATCTAAAATAGGAACCTTGAGACAAAGCTCCTGGTGCCCCACCTTAGTTGTAATTTTGATTCTATGCCATAATAACTTTTTCAGTTTTATGTTATATCAAAATACTTGTTTGGATTCCCATAACCAGTATCCATTAGAGGCAGGATTTGAATCTAGGTCTTCCTGAGACTCCTTACACTGAGTTCCCATTCCAATGAAACCACAGGTCTAATCCTTATATTTATCCTTATCAAAATACTATCATATGTTAAAATAGCAAAAAAAAAATGACAAAAAACCAAAGACCCAACAACAGCCCCTAAATATTTGTTAGTGACTTAATCATCTGTAATATCAATATATCTTATAAAGGAATATGTGTATAATAGAAAGCATAACCCAAAGAGCAGTATATACACAAACTACAACTATGTCAATAGAAAAATGTATATACATTATACAGAAATACAAAAATAAAGGAACAAATAGAGAATGGGAGAAGATAAGCTATCATGGACATATTATACATTAGAACATATATTTTAAGTATAAATAATTATAAATGTATGCTTCATTTTGTTACCATTTAAAGATACATATAATAAATTATTTTTAAAAACAAAAGCAAAAATAAAGCTAAATATAAAGTTCATTCAATGTGCAGATGGTATTGGATGGACTCATGTTTTACATTATACAATAGTTAAAAACAATGAGATCACAGATTCAGCAACCTGAAACTATAATGAGCATAAATCACATTTTATTATCACATGCTTGTTTCTTAACTTAGAAGCAGGTTATAGGTAAAAAGGTTAAATGCAGAAAATGTTTATTGTTAGAGATTATAATCCATTTTTCTTATTATGTAGAACACACAATGAAAAAAAAATTGTCCTTGTCTCCATATTTTCCAGTGACACTTACAAATTCTTCCTTCAGAAATACCCAGTGATTCCTATTAATGATAAACTTGTATAAAGCTCCTGGATTACACAGAAGATTCAGGTTAAGAGGTCCATATTTTGAAGTACAGTAACTGCGCCAAAGTTAGATTCTCTAAGAGATATTACTAGAACTTGTAGACTGCAAAATTTCCCGATTCAGGAAGCAGAACTTCTGTTTTCTTAACGAGGGGATGACTTTGATATCATTTGGTCAAAAGATCCAAGATATTTGGATCACGCTTTGTGAACCTATAGCATCTTGAAGAGCAGACGTTAAACAAGATGGGAAGAAGCTGAATATTAAAAACATCAAAGGATCGAATGACTCGAAGTCCTTTGCCATATAAAGGGCCTCGGCAGTAGTCACATACATTAGAGCTGAAATAGAGAAATCAAACTGTAAACTACTTGATGTTTATCGAATGTTTACTACATCGGACGCTCTTAAGTACCATAGACAACACCAAGAAACAAAAGAAATGGTCCCTGGCCTCAATGATTTTAAAATGTAGTTGAAAAGAAAAAAAGAATTACTTAATAATAACTTGCAATTATATAGTGCTTTAAGGCTTGCAAAGTGCTTTATAAATATTACCTCATTTAATTTTTATGATAACCCTGGGAGGAATGCATTACTATTATCCTCATTTTACAACTGAGGAAACTGAAGCAGACAGAGGTTAAGTGACTTGCCCAGGGTCACACAGCTAATAAATGTCTGAGTTTGGATTTGAACTCAAGTCTTCCTAATTTAAGGCCAGTGCTCTATCCACTGAGCAACCTAGGTGCACATGAATAGAGAAGAGAATTAAAATTGAATAACAATTTAAAACAGCAATAAAGGAGAAGTCATAGAGCAGTTTGTGATTAATTTCTAACTGAGTGGTATCCACAATAAGCATTTCACATTTAGGAAACAAAATCACTATACAGCTATATTTCACATCATAGCCATCAACTTGCACATTACCAGTATTATCACAAACTGATTCTACGGGCTTCTGACTACTAAAATTCATTTAACATTTCCCTCTGTTACCTCCAAAGATGGCATGTTTCAGGCCACTGACCCTTCCCAGGGCAGGTCTAGTGGTTCAATGTGCAAGGATAAACAGGTAGGCTTGGTTTGAAAGGAAACTTCACAGGGAGAAAATATGGAAATTTAGGTTGGCAGAAGGGGAAAAAGTGGTAGTGCCAACTGGTGACAAGTTTTAAAGCATGGAATTTATTAGAGAAATTTGATTTTGATATGAATGAACTATAATTATTATAGATTGTAGAACTATAATTATTATAGGGGAGAGACAAGATAAAAATAACGAGTCACCTCTTAGAGGTTTCTCAGCACTCTCTAGTTCTTGATCAAAGAAGATGCTTTGTTATCTATGTAGGCCAATCTCAAGTTAGATGATTTTAAAAGCAAGGATGCTAGATGTGAGACTGATACAAATAACCAACATGAATTGGTTAGGCTTGGACAAAAGGTACGGCTGTGAGAAATCAGAAGTCAAGTCAACAAGCATTTATTAAGCACTTATCATGTATAATGAGAAAGATTTAAAGATTTGACAAGATTTTAGAAGAATGAAGAAAAGAGAGGAATTAATGCTGGAAGTCATCACAGGAAAGAACAACATGGTCATTCTTTTAGTGTGACATACTTTGCATAAAACATCTTTATTTGCCACACTAAATTAAGTTTTCCAAAAAAACTTTTTTTTTTTACAACTTATGTTGGAAAAATGGCAAAATGAGGACATTTCTGGTCCTTTTTTTCTGGAATATTCTTTTCTTTTCCTAGTCCTTTTTGTTTTTATGCTTTTACCAGAGGGGAAAAAAAATGATGCAAGCACCCAATGGCAATGTAAAAGTGCAGCAAGGTACAAGTTCCAGACTTTGTTAGCAGGATGGAGAAGGCAAAGCCAAAACCAATGATGTGGGAAGATACATTCGTTATTGATGACACTGGGAGAAGGCCTGAGAATTTCTATCCTTATGAAAACTACAAACAGTCCGCAAGTTTAAATAGGAGAAGCGAGGTAACCATCCCTGGCACTGAGCTTTCAACCAGTCCCTTTATGACATGGCAGAACCAGTGGATAGAATACAAAGAAGACAGATCATGAGCTAGAGGGCGTCTCAGGAGTCATTGAGTCCGACCCTTTTCTTTTACTGATGAGGAGGAAGGCGTCCAGGGAAGGGAGAATCAGCATCAGAGGTAAGATCTGAACCCAGGGCCTCTCACTCAATGGCTACTATTCTTTCCACTGTACTATAAGAAAAAAGAAGGGTCAGTTGGGACTTTTGCAGTAGGGAAACAGTTTAGTTGTGGTAGTAGGTAACATGTTTTACCTATGTGTGCATTCTTACGCTTTGTGGGACTACGGTGTGGATAAGAAAACCCTTGTGTTCCCTTGGTACATCTGGTGTGATGAGCTATGCTTTCAGAAATTCATGAGCAATGCCCAACTGTCTAACAATAATGAGGAATTGGTTCTAGGTTCAGCCTTGCTGTGTGCCAGAAGTAACATTTCCAAAGTTATTCTCTCCGTCTCCTCCGTCTGTCTGTCTGTCTGTCTCTGTCTCTCTCTATCTCTGTCTCTCTCTCTCTCTTGCAGCATGACTGACAGACATTAGATTCAATTCAATTCAGTGAAATATTTATTCAGTACCTATTATGGCTAAGGCACTGTGCTAGGTATGGGACAGAAATCACTTTTGGGCAGCATTTGTTTTACATAAGCGACGTAAATAACAATAACCATCGCATTCCATATTATTGATAGGTGGCACAGTAGATGGAAGACTGGACTTGCAGTCAGGAAGAGCTGAATTCAAATTCTACCTCAGAAACTTACTACCTATGTGACTCTGGGCAAGTGTTTTAACCTCCTTCAGCCTCAGTTTCCTTATCTGTAAAATGAGGATAATAATAGCAGCTACCTCCCGGAACTGTTGTGAGGATTAAATGAGACAGCATATGTAAAGTGCTTTGCAAACCTTCAAGTATTCTATTATGGCTATTACTTATTATTATTTATAATTGTAATATTATTTCAAGCTAAAATAACAAAACCAAGCCAACAAATATAGTCTATCCTAACTATGTGATTAATTTTAAAATGGGAGGCAACAATGGGTAAATGGAAAGATTTGTAGTCCAAAAACTGGGGCTTGAACTGTAACTCTGCCAGTAATTACCCATGTTACCCTGGGGAAGTCATGTCATTTTTCTGGGTCTGTTCCTTCATCTGAAAGATGAGGGGATTGGACTAAGTGATCTATTAAGTACTATCTTAGGTCAACTACAACTGACCCCAAACCCAAACTCACAATCTGGAAAGAATGAATTGATTAGTCAAGTATTTTTTTAAAGATACAAACAAAACAACTCCCCCCCCCCCCCCCAAAAAAAATACCTTTTACTATATACAAACATGCTGCAAAGGATACACAAATGCAGTTTTCTAGGTCCCCACCTTTGAAGATACACACAGGTCAATAGCAACAAAAGTCCCCATAAGAATAACAGTTTTTCACGTATCAAACACTATTCTTGATAGTAGTTTATGTAAAATTCTCCTCTTCCCCACTAAAATAAAAGCATTCAGCTTATCTGTCCTGGCTCCTGAAGACTAAAAGCTACTTAAGCTTTTAAAATCATTAATGGCATGCATCCAATCAGCCCCATGGCCTGGGTGAGACAAATAATGCCAAAGACAAGTTTCTTCTAGCTCTAATTCATGTGATCCTATGAGTTTGTGATCTTATTTCAATAGAGACATTAAGAGATTTTCCACGTCCTAATGAGGACTCAAAGCTGCAACACACAGTAATAACAACAAAATAAAACAGAAACAAGGAATTTATGTGTTTTAGAAAAGGTTCTTGAAATTTCACCTTCCTACATTTGAAATTTGTGGTTCCTCTCTGCTGTTAATGTCTACTGGATAACTGGAGTCCTCGCTGTCCTAATGTAGGAAATTTTATTCTTCACAAAATACATAAGTGTATGCCATAGATAATAGAATTTTCTGGTATGAAAGCCATGCACATTTACAGAAAATAATATTTTATACCTTCAAATTTTTCATTTGTCTGTTTTTACATAATAATTCTCAAATGTATCCCTCCTCTACCCAGAAAGCCACATTCTGGGGGCAGCTAGGGGGCGCAGTGGATAGAGCACCGGTCCTGAAGTCGAAAGGACCTGAGTTCAAATTTGGCCTCAGACCAAACACTTGACGCTTACTAGCTGTGTGACCCTGGCAAGTCACTTAACCCCAATTGCCTAAAAAAATTATAAAAAAGAGAGAGAAAAGAAAAAAAACAGAAAGCCACACCATGTAACAAAGAATAAAAAAGAAAGAAGAGAAAAAAAACGCTTTGGCAAAACTAACCAACATATCAAAGGAATTTAAAAATGTATATGATTTTCAACACAGATAACTCCCCACCTCCACAAGGAAAGGTAGGGGGAGTACATTCTCATATTTCTTCTTTGAGGCCAAGCTTGGTCAATATATTGACACAGTTGGTTAAAAAGAGAGAGAAGTTGATTAGAGAAATGAATTAAATAACAACATAAAGAAGCAACTGAGAACAGCGACCTAGTGTTTGGTAAACCCAAAGATCCCAGCCAGTGGGGTAAGAACCCACTATCTTTAAAAAATGTTGGGAAAACTGGAAAGTAGATTGGCAAAAATTAGGCATAATCAACATTCTACACCATAGATCAAGACAAGCTCTAAATGAATATATTACTTGGACATGTAGGGTAAAATCATAAACAAATTAGGAGTAAAGAAGAGATTACCTGTCATATCTATGGTGAGGGGAAGAATTCATGACCAAAAGAGAATGAGAGAATCACAGAGAGCAAAAGGAACAATTTTATTACCAATGTGTCTAAAATTAGAAGATAAGCGGGTAAATGGGGGAAAAAAATCTATGCAGCAAATTCCTCTGATAAAGGTCTCATTTATAAAACATATAAACTGATTGAAGGTTATTTGAGTAAGAGCTATTCCTCCAATGAGTCAAAGGATATGAATAAGTAGTTTTCAAAAGGAGAAATCCAAATTATCAATAGTCATTTGAAAAAGAAGCTCTAATTCACTAGTAATTAGAGAAATGCAAATTAAATCAACTTTGAGGTTCTACCTTATACCCATCAGATTGGCAAAGTTATTAAAAAAGTAAAAATTACAAATGCTAGAGGAGCTATGGGAAAATAGGTATATTAATTACTGTTAGTGGATCTGTGAACTGGTCCAGACATTCTGGAAAGCAATTTGGAAGTAGGCCCCAAAAGCTATCAAACTGTGCATACCTTATGATTCAGCAATGTTGCTACTAGGTCTATACTCCAGAGAGATCAAAGAAAGGGAGAAGTGACCTATATGCACAAAACTATTTATGGAATATCTGTTTGTGGTGCAAAGAATTGGTGACTGAGAAAGTGCTCATCAATTGAGAAATGGCTGAACATGGTATAGTATATGAATGTGATGTAATACTATTGTGCTGTAAAAAGTGAAGGGGATAGTTTCAGAGAGACTTGAGAAGGCTTGTATGAACTAATGCAAAGTAGAGTAAACAGAACCAGGAAAACAATTCATTCAACAACAACAATATTGTATAGAAAATCAACTATGAAAGTCTTAGAAACTCTGAACAACACAATGACCAACCACAATTCTGGAGGACTTATGATGAAACATGCTACCCATCAGGAGATGTATATTTGGAGTGCAGATTGAAACTTTTCTTTTCCTCAACATGGTCAATACAGGAATTTCTTTGACTTGACTATACTTGTTTGCTACAGGGGGTGGTGGTGGTGTTTTTCTTATTTTCTCAGTGTGTATACATAGGGAGAGAGTGGGAGGAAGAAAAGGCAATTCAATTCCATAAAGATTAATTAAGTGCCTACTATGTGCCAGGTACTGTGCTAAGTGCTGAGGATACAAATGAGAAAAAGAAAGACAGTCTCTGCCCTCAAAGAGCTTACAATTTAATGGGGGGAGAGAGACAATACACAAAAAGGAAGCTGGAAAGTGGGGGCAAGGGGAGATCTCTATTTGGAAAAAAATATCATTATATAGCATTCAGTTTTGTTATTTTGCTCTTCTCATATACATTGTTGTAGTCACTGTGTTTGTTGTTGACCTGCCTAGCTCAATTTGTATCTGTCTGTGTAAGTGTTCCCATGTTTCTGTGCAGTCTTCATATTCACCATGTCTTACAATACAATAATATATTCCTGTAAAACTCTTTTAACAGGGGCAGCTAGGTGGTGCAGTGGATAGAGAACCAGCCCTGGATTCAGGAGGACCTGAGTTCAAATCCGACCTCAGACACATAACACTTACTAGCTGTGTGACCCTGGGCAAGTCACTTAACCCCATTGCCTAGCCAAAAAAAAAAAAATTGTTTAACCATTCCCAACTGGTGGATATCTATTTTGCTTCCTAGAGGCAGCTAGGTGACACAGTAGATATAGTGCTGGGCCTGTAGTCAGGAAAACGTGGGTTCAAATCTGGCCTCCAACTCACCAGCTATGTGACCCTAGGCAAGTCACTTTAACCTCTACTTCAGTGTCCTCGGCTTTAAAATAGAGATAATAATGGTACCTACCTCCCAAAGTTGTTGTGAAGATAAAGTGAGGTAATATTTGTAAGCACTTAAATGCTTGCTTGATTCCTTCCTTTTTTCCTTCCTTTCTTCCTCCCATTCCCATTTCTCTCTCTCTCTCTCTCTCTCTCTCTCTCTCTCTCTCTCTCTCTCTCTCCATCTTTCATTTTTCTTTCCTTCCTTCTTTTTCTTTGCTATTACAAAAAGCACTATCATAAATATTATGAAGTATATGGGACTTTTTCTTTCTCTTTCTGGTATTCTTAGTTTGGATGCTAGCAGTGGGATCTCTAGGACTAAAGGGTATGAAAAACTTCATCACTTCCTTGGTATAAATTGCTTTCCAAGATAGCTGGAATAATTCATAATTCCACCAATAGCATACAGTTTAATATGTCTGTCTTACCTCAGTGCTTCCAGAATCTACTACTCCCATCCTTTGTCATATTTGCCAATTTGCTGGGAATAATGTAAAACTTCGAGTAGTTTTGACTTGCATTTATCACCTTATTAGTAATTTGGAACAACCTTTCATATGGTAGTTTAACAGTTTGTAATTCTTTTGGGAACTGTTTGCCCTCATCCTTTGACCACTTATCTATTGCAGAATTACTCTTGATCTTAAAATTGTATGTGTGTATGTGTGTATATATATGCCTATATGTATATACTATATTGTGTATACATATATGTATATATGAATACATATATATTAAATAATCAGACCCTTAACACAGAGAGATATTTGCTACAAAGACTTTAAAAAGAATTCTGAAAAGTTTCTTATTGGGTTCCTCTGCAACTTCTGCTCAATAGGTCTACTCTGCCTACCCCTACCTAGATCCAAGATCTGATCTAGAAGAGATGTGTTATCCTATATAGACTAGGTCAAAGATAAGCAGTAAGTTTTAAGAGGCTAGAGGTTTAGAAGCAATACTAATTGGAGATTTTTCTCATTTTTACTCCCAAAGAAGAAAAGTTAAAGATTCTGGTATTTCACTAATTTATTGCACTCTGGGGAATCTACAAGTTGTAATGTCAGCAGATTTAATGAGCATTCTTGTCTATGCAAGTCAATTTTAGGCAAAGTCTGGCTTATATTCCCTCATCTTAGGGCAATTCCAGAGCCAGTGACTGTTGACCTGTGCAATAGTAGATGAGCAGTCCAGAGACTTAACTGATAATTCAGAAGTCCTGGAATGGCCTATGGCCTCATTTGGTGGGTTAGTATGACTTGACACTCAAAAAAAGTGACCCATCTTCTGAAAAGAATATATCAAATGGCCTAGTCAACATTTTTGGGGTTGGAGGGAAGGAGGGTTACTATTTCTGCTAGAAAAAAGGGACACGTTATTTAAGCACCCTGTACAGGTACTAAACTATCATGCCTTCTCATTCCAGCAGGGGTTAGGCAAATTGCTAAATCTCAGTTTCTTCATCTATTAAATGAATATGACAATGATTACTGAATGTTGGGAAGACAACTTCGATTTCAAAAATTTTTCCAAACCCTCCCATTTGTGCCAACAAGGATTGAAACTATCTTGGAGGCCTTGCCCTTAACAATAGGCTAAGTCTACTAATAATTATAATCTGGGTGTTAGGGTTTCCCATTAGAAACCCTAAGAGTATATATACAAGCCTCTCTCTAGACTGGGTGATGCCTAGCCTAGTAAGAACAATAGTCCTGGTTCCCTGTAGTTATATTCACTTTTGCTTTTCCTTCTGAATAGCTACTGCTATTCAATACAACCCAAAAATGTCCCTGGCATGCCTGACATGCATATAATTTATGCTGTACTGCTGTAGTTTACACTCTTGTTCATCTCATCAGGGCAATGAGTCCCAAAGAGAGTTTGCCTTACCTTAAACTTTTTCAACCATCTGAATCACAGTAACATTCTATACTGTGGTTGTATATAAGCATACTAGCAAAAAAAAAATCATAGGATCATAGATTTACAGCTGGAAAAAACCTCTCAAAGGACTTTAAAAAGATAACCCAGGTCCCTCATTTTAAAGATGCTTAATCATGTTTTGCCTTTAGTTTCTAATTAGTTATTCCCTAGAATTCCTAAGCCTCATCTGCCAATTACTAACAGATGTTCATTCCTGTTTCCTTGTGTATGATGATGCATTCTGTTCATTTTAATTACCAAGGACCCCCAAAGTCTTTTTACCTTTGACCATTTGCAGAAATTCTAACGCTATGATCTTTACATTGCCTTTTCTCCCTTAGGAGTCTGGCTTTGAAGCCTCTCTGGTCACTGCTTATTTTATCACTCCTTCATAATCATCCAGGCTTAACTGATCTTTCCTCCTTTTTCTTACTATCCTTCTTCCCCTTCCTCTACTTAAATTTTTTAAGGTTACTATGTTAACTAGGAAGGAAACTTGGATCAAATATATGTAAGGCAGTTGGATTCATTACTATATAACATTGGGATCAGTTTAGTTCCATGCCTATCTTATAAGATTGATAAAGACCAATCAATTAAAAAGAGTTGTATATCATTTAACATATAAAAATGCTTAAGAATTAAGTATTTAAGAATTTAGTTGTTTCACTGATTAGAGAAAAATTAGCTTTCATCTGAAAGCTATGGATGAAAAGCCCTTAAGGAGTTTACCAAACTATGGTAGTGAGTTTGTGAATTCCCCTGAAAGAGCAGTGGTAGCTTTCTGCATGCATGCTTACTCTACTATTGAACCCTTCTGGTCAAAGAAGAACATGTTTCTTTGCACAGTCTCCCAGATGCAGAAAAATGGCTCCTATGGACCCACTTCAATATTTTCTTCCATGTCTGTGGAAGCTCAATAGAAAGTTTTAACTGGTTATTGTGCAATGACTGCCAGCTACAGTTAAATGATTTCCAGCTTACATAAGGAATAAGCCCTAATTCATGAAATAATGGAGGAATGGAGCTAAAGGAATGGAGCTGTACCCTTTTGCAGGTACAGAAACCACTTGGTTGATTCTTTGGTATCAGAAGAAAAATCAGAGAAATATTTCTAGTTAACCTTATATCAAATGCACTTACATCAAATATAGTCATCTAGGTCTAAGAAGATGACCTAATAGAAACCACTTAGTGAAATCCAACACTTTGATTTTATAGATGAGGAAACATAAGCACCCGGAGGTTAAGTAATTTGCTCAAGGTCACATTAGTAACTTAATGGAAGAGCTAGATTCAAATACAGATCATTTAATTTCAAATGTAGGGTTCTTTCCACTATACTAAATATTTTACTTGAGGACAAAATAGAAAAAAATTGTCATCAATAAAAAGTTTCCATAGCTTGCTTACGTGATTAGTTGTTGCTTAATTTCGGATGGGAGCACCTCATAAAATTTCCATAGTTGGTTTTGGACAAAAGACACGAGAGCCAGATCTTTGAGGCTTTGAGCATCATTTTTTGAATTCTCTTTCCAAAACAAAGGGTGTATGAAGTTATTTTCTATGTTGAAGATATCTGGGGAAATTTTCAGAATTCCTGGTGGCAAAGATGTTAGTTCATTCCCCTCAAGATTCAAATTGTTAAGGTTGCTGCAGAAAAAGACCATCATTAAAAGTCATTTGTGCAATTAATACTACTAACACCAAACACCAATTATAATCTGACTCTAGAACCATGGTTACTAATAATTCCCACTTTATCTGATGACCACTAAATATAACAAATAATAAACACAGGTGTTTCCTTGGACTTATATATGGGCTATGGAATTCTTATGTGAAAATGCAATCAGAATTAGTCTCAGAACTATGTTTTCACTTGCTAATCAGATTATTAATCCATGGGAGAATTTGAGTGAGAGTTCAGGTGAAATATGTTCATTAATGCACGGTGGGCCTTCCTTTGTATACCTCTAATTTCTAAAGAGCAAATTCATGGAGTCCAGCACTACAGGAGTAAATCATCAAGAATTCAGATAAAACATCACTCTGATTTCATGCCCATGGGTTGGAGATAGCTCTGGGTTTTTCAAAAGTCTTGTAAACTAAAAACCTAACTCTTGGAGGTCTCATCAGACAGGAAAGGCTTAAAATTTGGGCCTAACTGAACTGCATAGCTAAGGGTAACACCTTTAGAGGTTCTTTCCCTCCAAGTTGCACCTGTAGTTTTGAGTCTCTAGTGGAGAAGGTGCTCCTGCTCTCAGGGTTCCAGGGATAGGTAACCTATGCATGGCTATCCTCCTAACACTAGATTATGAATCCCCACCAGTTTACATTTCCTTAACAATCAGCTAAGAGACTGAATTCTTTAACAAAGGCATTTAGTAAAATGGTATGGCAAAAACAGTAGTTACCTAGCACCAGGTGCACACTTTTCCACAAATAAATAGTCTTGGAAGATAAGAGTGGGTATGAATTTAAAGTGCAGTGTTAGTGAGGCATATGTATATGGAATACACACAGCCAAGACGAGTCACAATTCCAAAACTGCAGGGCCTCAATGTCCCTTATTTCTCCAGAGGATCCTGAAGTTCGCTGTGAGACATGATGTCAATAATGTATGAGTTGCTCCACTGCTCAGCTAGGCTGGCTCCTTACAGGACACAGCATCTCAGCTGGATGGGTAGCTCAGCTGGACCTGCCTCCTGTAGAATATGGTGTCAGAGCTGGATGGGTCAGTTCCCTGCTGAGCTGAGTCAGGAAGGTGTCTCAACTGCTATGCTGCCTCCTCAGTGAGCTCAGGTGCTACTAGGCTAGGCTGGGCTGGGCAGAATGACTGGTCACTGAACTCGGCAGCTTCTGGGCTGGGACAGAAAGGTCCCTCAGCTGCTGGCCTGGGCCAGCCAAGCCATTCTGATGCTGGGCAATGGCCTGGATGGCGTCAGGGAGGCTAGTCTGCCACTGAGCCGTTGTACTGCTGTGGGACTGCTGCTGCCAGGCTACACTGGACAAGTCCCTTGGCCTCTGGGCTTTTTTCAGGGGAAAGCATTTCTATGAATGGGTTAATCTTATGGATCACTACCTTGGTTAGTAATTCTGTGATTTTTTTCAGCTGGAGTTACAATGCTCTTTTCATCTAGGGCAATGGCCTAATTTAGCCTGGGATTGGCAGAAGCCTCTCCTCCTTGACACTCTCAGTGTCAGCTCTAAGGTTGGTCACCTCCAGATAGGGGAATTGAAAAAGGTCTAAACTCTTCTGTTCAGTTGTCCTTCCAGGTTCGAAAGATTCTTTCCCTAATAAGACACTATGTCTTGCCTTAGAGTGATAAGTCCCAATTTAATCACTTACAGTTTCCATATTCTTTTGGGGTATTCTGCAGAAGAGTGGTTAAGTGTAAAGGTGAGAATATCATCTGTGTTCTAGAAGCAAGTTTATTGTCTGGCTGACTTCTTCATAAGCAATTGAGTTATTCAATATTCCATGGGCCCATATCCACTCAAAACCATAGCTCCCCCCTATATGTTTACATTTTTATAGTAAATATTGTATCCTCAGCCAGAGGATATAATTAATTTAAAGCAAAGACATTTAACAAGATAGCACAGTAAGAATAGTAACAGAACATCTTTTCCCCAAACTTTGGGTACTCTTTCCCACAAATACCTACACCATAAGTGAGAAGAGTGGGCACAGATAAGGAGCAGCTCACAAGGGGGCATACATGTTAGGAACATGTATGGTCAAAGCACATGTGTGAAGAGGCGACTCACATGCCCAATCCTGCAGCTCTTCTGATGTCTAACAGTGAAATCACTGCTTTCTCTGGGCCTGGGCATCATCATCTGCCTCTGGCTGTCCTGCGGGGTCCTCCATTATCCACTAGAAGTATCTTTCTCCTGCTTTTCTGGAGTTTTCTGGGCAATGCTTTATCTCGCTAGCTTCTGGGCTTCAACTCTTCAGGATTACCTCCTAGCCCTCACTTTTGGTACACTATGTGGTAATGACTAAAAGCCTTTTCCTAATAAGTATAGTTCGACAACTGTTTAGTCATAGCAAGACTGTATCTACTTTAAGAAACCAGGTAAAGTGACCTCACATAAAGATTAAGTCATTTCTTCTTGATCTCTATGGCTAAAATAGAAATCATAGTCTCTTGTCACAAACAATTATCTGACCTAGGGTACTCTCAATATCTTCTCTGTCTTAGTATGCACATAAATTTGAGCCAGAACCATAAGTGGCGGAAAGGTTCTTCATCCATCTAGCCTACATTCTTTGCTTTTTTTCAGATATATTTGTCAGTAGCAAAACCCTACAGCTTTGATGTTACATTTTAGTCAGTAAAACATGTCTCTCTAAAATTAAATTAATGTAAATTAATTAATAATTAATTATTTTTATATATGTTAATAATTAATAAGTTAAAACTAACATCTCTCTAAAAATAAAATTAATTGAAACATTTAAGGGTCAAGCTCTCAAGTTCAGTCAAATTAAGATATCCCTGGCCTCATCAGCATAAGGTCCTTTCTTAATATGCTTGTTTATACTGTAGTAATTACTTGTGTAATCCTTTCCCCTTTGTTAAAAGGGGAATCAACATTACTAATTTTCTTTAAAAAAAAAAAACCTCACTTATCTCAATTCTCTTGTGTACAAAAGCACTTTTATCTAACTAGAGTTGGAAACAGACAGAAAAGCATCTGGGACAATTATGCATCGAGAAAATGTAAAAATCAAATCAGGCTAGCCCAATTTAGCTTTATGCATTAGACACCAGGCAGCTTTTAAAAAAAAAAAAGGCACATTAAGATCAACTAAGTCCCTTTTTTATATTCCTGCATTTTCACTTACAGGCTGTTATTCTTAGGTTCCTTTATCTCAAGGTTAAGTGTTTTTTGAAATAAGTTCCTGTTATTAGTATTTAAATATTAATAAAGGTAATTCAATATTGTTAGGCAGTCACTAAGATTCTTTTTCAAACAGTTTTGGAAATTTTTATTTTCTTTTTATCCTAGCACTTAGCACAGTGCCTGGCACATAGTAGGCACTTTATAAATGTTTACTGTTTGATTACTATGCCACAGAGAAATCACAATTTATATTTTTCCTGAATTAATACCTTATAGATTCTATCTTTACTTGCTATTAAATTACTACTTAAAATATAGTATATGAATTAAATTCTCCCCAAAAGAACAATTCTATTTTGTGGCTAAACATATATTTAAAATATATGAACTTTTTGTATATTTACTGCTTTTTAAATACCTGAGATTCTTGATTTCATTTGGAAGAGAAGTAATTTCATTGTAGGAGATATCCAGGAACTCAAGTTTAGACAACGCAAATAATCTTAAAAAGAGAGAAAACCAGCATGCTATAAAAATAATTATGTGGTGGTTACTTATTGAGAATTAAAAGAATATAAGGAATTTCACTGAATGTAGAGAAGTTATAGAAATTGTTTTTTTCTAAAGAGTGGCAGCAATGTATAGCAGCGAGACAGCTGGCCTCAGTCAGGAAGATTTGGATTTAAGTTCTATCTGTGATACATACTGCCTGTGTGACCCCTAGCAAGTCATTTAACCTTAGTGGGCGGGGCAACTCTAAGACTTGAGGTTGTAAGGAAGGGGCTGATCTGCATTTGTAGAGTAAGGTCTTTACTGGAAGCTTCCTATACTGATTAAGTCACAAGTCTGGTTAAAAAAAAAAAGTAGTTTTGGATGCAATTTCAAACACATTGTCTTATTTGGGCCTCACAAGAATTTTTTGAAGGGGCAGCTAGGTGGCACAGTGGATAGAGCTCCTGCCTTGGAGTCAGGAGGATCTGAATTCAAGTCTGGCCTCAGACACTTGACATTTATAAGCTGTGTGACCCTGGGCAAGTCACTTAACCCTAACTGCCTCATCAAAAAAAAGAAAAACGGGGCAGCTAGATGGCGCAGTGGATAGAGCACCGGCCCTGAAGTCAGGAGGACCTGAGTTCAAATCTGGCCTCAGATCAAACACTTGAGACGTACTAGTTGTGTGACCTTGGGCAAGTCACTTAACCCCAATTGCCTTACCAAAAACAAAACAAAAAAAAGTTTTTTGAGGTAGGCAAGATAAATATCATTATGTCTGTTTTATAGATGATGAAACTGAGGCTTAAAAAATTGAAGTGAGGGGCATCTAGGTGGTGCAGCAGCTACAGCACCGGCCCTGAAATCAGCAGGACCTGAGTTCAAATCCGGCCTCAGACCAAACACTTGACACTTACTAGCTGTGTGACCCTTGGCAAGTCACTTAACCCCAATTGCCTAAAGAAAAAAAAAATTGAAGTGACTTCCTCAAACTTGCATTGCTATTAGCTGCCAGAAAATGTTACTGTTGCTTTTGTTTCTATATCATAGTCATTTTCAGTTACACTTTCCCCAACTCCAACAAAATCCCCATCTTTTCTTTAAAACAAATAAACAAAAACAGTCAATAAATCAGCACAGTGATGGTGAGTGAGAATAGGTCTACACTCTCTACACCAGAGATGTCAAACACATGGCCTGAGGGATGCACATGGCCCACTGGATGAGATCAAAATATAACTGGGAAACACTTAACAAAATAAATAAAAATACAATAAAACTGAAATAATAGTACATTTTAACCTAAGTCAATATGCAGCCCACAGGGATCCTTCTGTATAGATTAGTGATCCCTGTTTCTATTTGACTTTGACATCACTGTTCTACACCATAATAATCCACTTTTATTTTGGAAGAAAGGATGTGTGTTTCATCACCTGGTCTCTGGGATCAGGATTGGCTATTACATCTACTCAGATCTTGGCTTCCTTTTACACTACATCTTTTAAATAAATACATATTTTAATATATATGATATATTATAATGTTATATATAATTATAATATAATATATAATCTACATATATTTATTCTAAATTTAGTCGCTTTCAACAAAACAACAACAACAAAAAGAAACTCTCTGGGTTTCAATAAATTGAATTGATAAATTGAGAAGATATTGTGAGGAGAAAGATTTCCCCCTCCCTGTTCTGATGTTCTCAACCCCCAGGAACACTTATTTAAATGCTTTCTAAATGGAATTTTTGGACAGAATGGTATTCTACCTTAAGGGGCATCAAGGGGGTGATGTGAGCAGCACAAAGGGTACAAGCAGGGTCATTATTTCATATATCCCCTTAAAGAGACAAATCTTTAAATAGATGCTAGAGGTAAATTAAGTCAGGCTACAAATCAGACTACTCAGAGGACTCACCCTAATTTGAGAGGGGAGATTTACATGTCACCAAGGTAACCAAGAAAACTCAGCAAACATAAACACCATGAAAAAAAAAAACAAAAAACTAAAGCAATACAATAATGATCATCAATATTAAATGACAAGTCTCCTTATAACCTGGTAACCCACTCCCAATGTCCATTTAATCAGCACATTTCATCTTGAGTCCCAGATGTCCCAGGTAGTCGTCTGGTCCCTGGAAACACCTTTCCTTGGACATTCTGGAATAGGTCTCATTCTCTGGGCAGCTCCAAAGGGGTTCCTTCTAGTAGATCTGCATCTCTGGTTCCAAATCACTTGCAGAGATTCCTAGGCAATTCTGCTAAAATCTGCCAGTAACAAGACTCAATATAATTTAGTACAACCTCTGACTTTGGTTTTCTAATAACTAGTTCATGTGGTGAAAACCAGCTCAAGTCTTATGGTTCTAATCCTTTTAACCACAGAGCTATAAAAACATCAAATTAGGAACCTATAATTTACCTGAAACTTCAGAGAACTTCACTTTTTACATACCACTTGCTGTTTCCATCTTCACCTAAACCCTGTACCTGATATGTACACTGCCATCAGGCTGAAGGATGAATCTTAAAAAAAAAAAATCCATGAGGGCCTAGCTTAGAAAATGAGCCCTTCTGTCTCTTAAAATAATTAGAGACTTCACAGTAGGAAAATAATTTCACTTTCTTTGCAATTATAAATGCAATTTTATATGTAAAATCCTTAATCCAATTTTGAGAAGTTGTTACTAAAATACACTCAAGGCCTGTATATCCCATTAAAAATATTTGGAAACCAACCAAATATATACATATATACACACACATACATATACACACTATACACACATATATATGTATATACACATATATGTACATATATTTATTCTAGTTTTTAGGGAAACTGACTCTGTTGGTTTCTCAATACTTATTACTCCATTTAATTAGAAAACTTTAACATCTTTGTCTTATTCCCTTCTTTTGAGAATGTTATCCCCAACTGATCCTGAAAGAATTAGATCAGAGGTTCCCAAACTTATTTGGCCTACCACTCCCTTTTCAAAAAAAAATTACTCAGTGCCCCCTTGGAAATCTACTTTCTTTAACTATTTAATGCTTTTTTTTCAATTTGCATCATTTCAAAAAATATATAATTTTTTTTAAAATGACACATCTTAAATTTAATTATTTATTATAAATTTGTGGATTTTTTTCCTGCATTGAAATTTTGATGACTCAATATTGTGTGATGTAACTATATAGTATCATATTATAAAGAAGTCATTACATGCACATATTCCTGCCAATGCATACTGGACTCCCCAACAATGTGCAACATGCTTGCCTGCCCGTACTTGCTTGTTAAGAACTGTTGGTGGACTTGACCACTGATTGGTTATAAATTGCATTTTCTATGTTTATTTGAAAAATAATGTAATCACTATGACTTTAACTCTGTTACACAACAAATGAAACACGTACAAATGTTTTTTTCAAAATTTTCTTCTCTTCTTTCCTTATGCTTCCACAGTCTCCTTATGTTTATTTAAAGCCCCCCAGTTGCACCTGAGGCTGCTACCACCCCCCGAGTTGTCCCAGTGCCCCACAGGGGGTGATATCACCCACTTTGGGAACCTATGAATTGGACCTAATTTTATACATGAATATATATAACTATTAGCAAGGGGCAAGCCCAAGAACTCATCGACTTAGTTGCTTAGGCTATGGAATTGACCACAACTTCAAATTAAAATAGTATGATCTTCCATACTTGCATCTTATTATAGTAACTCAGAGTTGTTTTAGTATTAATCTATTAATTAATAGAGTTGGTATTGCAATGACAAATTTCCACTGTTCACCTACCCTGATCATAGAAATTTGCTGTGAAAGAAAAAGGAGGGATATGGTTATGACAATATCAAGACTGTACCTCAAGGGCAATAGGCTATAATGGGAAAATTCCCTTAGCTCTGTTTGATTCCAGCCAAGTGTCACAGTTAATAGCCAATCACATAGCAAAGTTCCACATTACACAGAGGGTATCATAGCCATGATCACAATAAACAGGTAAGAAAATGTTCTGTTAAAAAAATAGCACAATGGGGAAACTGAGTTAACAGGATCCTACCTTTTCCTATGCAAGGTCATCCCCTCAACTTTCCCAGACACAAACATTTCACCTGTAGAAGTTCTCAGACTGCACTCCCTTTGGGCAGCACATAACATTTCCCTTTAATGGTGGGCTACTAGCTCAATGACACTTTACACAAGAATACTCGAAATCAAAACTTAGAACAATATTAAATTGCAGTCCCACCAGATTTTACCCCAAATAGCAAAATTTCATTAATCATAGGCGAGGGCTAGGTTATTATTATTTTTTCTCATATTTCAACAACAGTTAACAATGAGCAAATATAAAAGCATTTCATTTACCCTTCATTTATAAATTAAGAATAATCACATTATGGAGTTTCACACATACAGTATATACATGATAGTTGGTTCAAACCCCCTAGGAAGAATCTTCCTACTGTAAGTCCCCAGAGTCTAGGGGAGCAGAACCTGTTGCCTAAGGCCACATGTGGTTTTCTAAGTCCTCAAGTGTGGCCCTTGGACTGTACCCAAACTTCACAGTTAAGTTTGGATTCTGTGAAAAGGCTGCACTTGAGGACCTGGAAGGCCACATTCGGCCTCAAGGCCATAGGTTCCCCACCTCTACCCCAGACTAACAGATATCTGTATTATTTATTTACTCCTAAGGCAAAAATAAATCTTTGAATCTGAAGTCTATTGTTACTAAGTTGGTTCAAAATGTAACTTTAAAATATACTATTTATTAACCATACAATTTCATAATTTTCCTAAGTGATAGCCTAATAATCTTAAGTGAAACTCATTTTTCACTTTCAGTAAACTTTTAAGTTTCTAGTTTCTCACATTTCAGTACTTTAGAATATTACAATACAAGATCAGGAGGGCTGATAATATCTTATCACCCTTTTCAAATAGAAAGTCCCAAGAAACTTCATAGACAAGGATGACTTAAAGA